AAACATCAACAACTCCCCTGATGGGCCAAGGCACCAAGTCGCGGAGAACCTGGCGCTTCCAAGGACCCCAGCTCGTTGAGAGTCACCACCGGCCGGCCTTGGATGGATCGCCGAAGCGGTCTGGGTTTTTGAGGTTGGTTCATGCCAATGGTGGTTAACTGTTAATATTGTTTATAATATATAATATTTAACAATGAATATGGCATGAATCAACCAAAAAACCTGAAAAAAATGACAGGTTAGCTGAAATCCATTTGACCAATCCCTGTTAAATCAGGTGGTCTGACCCACTATTGCAAGCAACAGGTGTACTTGTAATGGCTCACATGGTCCCACTGAGCATGTGTGTCCCACTCTGCCGCCAATGTCGAGGAATATAAAACGACTGGTAGTGTTTTCTGCATCGGATCGTGATCGGAAGGTGAAGAACTTGTAGTGTCCCAAGAGATGGTTAACTAATGCTAAGAAAGGGGAAGGTGGGAAAACATTGACAGTCATGACTGACCGAAAGTAAGCTGAATGGAGATATAAAATGATTGTAAATGATTCATGTAAATGGAAACATGCAGGGGAAATGCTCTGAGTTGGAGTGAGGATGGAATACAAGGTTCAACTGTGAGCCAGAAGATACAAAATGAATCAAACATATTCAAACATAGTATATGTATATAATATATATATAATTTAATTATATAATATATATATATATATCTTTCGGCTTTCCCGGGCATTGAGCTAGTGAGCAGCTTTCGGCTTTCCCGGGCATTGAGCTAGTGAGCAGCTACAGCTTTCGTGACCTCTTGAAGCCTTGATCCAAGAGACCGGGATAGGCGCGGCTTGCTACTGACGCACTAATCGAAGCTTGTCGCAGATGCCATTTCCGATCAGGTAGCCTGCCAAAGTCGTGAACCACTCTCCAGCTACAATGAGCTACAGATCTGGAGGCATGGAAAACGTTTTACAGCAAACATCTTGGAAGAAACAAGGCCTCAATCGACTTCGCAAAGCGGACTCACTATAATTTTAGACCTCCACTCTCCACTGAGTTTGCATGGCGACATCCTTTGCACGAAGGTAGAGCTCAGCTCGCAGAGCCATCTAACAAGTCCATTCTGTGATATTGAAGCAATTAAAAGATTCCGTTCTGTCATTGGTCCTACGGAATGGGCCTTTAGGCTTTCGGGATTTCATGTTTCGGTCATGTGGGTGTGTCTTTTTCAATGGGTCATTTTTTGGTGTGTCTGAAAATGGGCTATTCCAAATCCATTGGTTCACTATCATATTTCCCATTCAAAGGCCATTTTTTGTGGGGTATTCCCCATTTTCAGAGCGACCAGCTCCCCAGATCCCCAGACCTGTTGAGCCATGGCCCAGTGGACCAGGTGTGTCCATGCAGCTTTGCGGACTCTTTGGGCGGGCCGCTCCGTTCGCTCCGTTCCGACAACACACCTGAGACAGCCGACGCCAAAAATTTGGAGCCAAGGAGGGATCAAAAAGCACCAACGGACCTACAAGAAATTGGATAGTTATAGTTACATAGTTGGCAGTGTGTCAAAACCTTGTACCCCTGGTGAACATCAAAATAGCTGGTAAATAGATGTTCATCCCCCTAAAAATGGTATGTATAGGCTAAGGTATTGATCCATGTTATAGTTAGTTTTTCAGTACATCTTTGGGACACAATTCTGCAATGGCTTCCGGACTGGCACTTGTAGGCACCAATTTTTGGCGCCGGATCTCATTACCCAGAATTACCCTTTACAACATTTTTTAGGCTTAATTATGCCATGCTTTTCAGTAGCCTGCCACTTTTTGTTGGGTAAGAGCTTGGTATCTGACGTGCACTCTGAGCACGAGAGGTGTGAACCGTGGCAATACTGCCCGGCTTCAGAAAGTGTCTGGCCTTGGTCGGTCATTTGGCGACAGGGATTGAGGATCTCCAAGTGCCTTGCATTGGATATGAAGGCCACAGGTAGATCTTGGGAAGTTTGGCAAAGCAATTCTTTAGAAGCTTCACTTCGGCTTCTTGTTTTGTCACCAGGCCCAGCATTTCAGCAAGTCCACCCACATTCATTTGTGTTCAATGTGTTCCCACAGACGTCCTTTCATTCCGCATACTCATCCTTACGTACCCTCAATTTATCTTTATATTCTTTATATTGTTCCCTGCAATTTTGTATCTGCTGAGGTAGTCCAAATTGTCCTCATCCCGTTCCCGAATTCATTGAATTCATTCTGTGCACTCGTTTGTGTCCTTTCAGGTCTCTTTTCCCTTGTTTGCTCCATTAAATGTCTTGAAGCTGCTCATGATGCAAATTCATAAAATCACATGTTGAATTTATTCCATACATTCCACCAGGGGGTTCTGGTAGGGTCCTTATCTGGACCTTATCTGGACCGTCCGCTCCAGCGGCATTGGTCCTTTTTGACCTTATCAGCAAGCGCCCACTTTGGGCACCCAGACGGGCTCCCATGGTAGCATTGGCCCCTCCTGATTCATGTCCTGCAGCTAAGTGCTATGTGAAGTAAGGATCTAATCATCATAGGTGAGATGGTTGTTCATTGACTTGGGATTCCCACAATGGTTCAATCAGTTCCTCAGACTTCTTCATGTGCCCCATGGCCCCATGGATTCAATGACACCTCACTTTTGAATTCTTGCCTAAAGGTAAAGAAGAGGGCACCACAATCCACAATAGATCAGTTCCCAAGCGCAATTCTTGGATTTTGGAGTATGGATTCTGCAGATTCCGGCTCCCAGTCCTGAAATGGTAAGGCCATGAGCTTGTCTGCAGCATGGGCCAAACATCAAGCATGCTGAATCATGGTAGGGCGGGCATTGACTGCTAGACAGGCCACTAGTCACATTCACAGCAAGGGTGTGTCTAAAAGACAAATGACCAGCAGCAGAACCTGCTTCCTCCTCTGCAAGGAACTTCTCAATGGGTGAGCTGGCACCTTGGCGGAGGATCGGCCGACCCAGGTTGCTCCTGATCTCTGGGGTTCATTTTGGGAGATCCCCAAAATGCTACCGGGTGATTTGCTGGAAAATCATGGAAAATCCATCTATAAATGGATGATTTAGGGATACCACCAATGTAGGAAACCTCCATTTTTGGTTGCCAAAACCACATCACATCTCGTAGGACTACAACCCCTTGACTCTCCCGTGCAAATACAGACTAAAGCCACGTGAAAAATGATCAAGGCCGCTCTACGCCGCAATTGGTGTCTGAAAATGGGGTATGCCAATGGCCATTCAAATGGGGACCCAAATGGATCCAGATTCGCCTGGCTCTTCTTGGACTTCAAGTTCTTCAAGACTGTGCCCAAGTTGATATGATGCAAGCGATACCATGCCTCGGGATGCCGAGGCATCCAATCTAGGCACAGGAACGCATTACTCGTTGGAATTGGGGGTGGGAATTAGATTCCTCTGGTTTTTTTGAAGGGGCTAAAAAATTGTTTGTGGACTCAAAGTGCTCCACCCTCAGGGGGGCAAAAACGAATGATTCAATTTTCAATAAAGACCCTGATCTAAACACAGCCCCAACACGGGCCCAACATAGGCTAAAGAAATTCCACACCAAAAAAAATTGTGGAAAAAAATGCGAGCAACAAACGAATTTTGCTTTTAGCAAACGCTCAAGGGGCGGTCAAACAACTGTGGAACCTATGCTGAATGTACCATGGTCATGTTGTGTATTCAAGAATGATACCATCCTGCATGGTTTCCATTGAGCCATCTCATTCCAGCGGGAAAACTGCAGAAAAAAACTTGGGGTCACTATGTAAAATCCGCCCGCACCGAAGGTGCTGGGGCGTGATCTTCCGGATGGCACTCGTAAAAGGTTACAGGTTTACCTGGGGGGGGGGGGCATTTTTCGGCCAAAACCTCCTGTTTTTGATAGGGCGTGACGCTCGCCTTCAAAAAACACTGTAAAAAACAGTACGGAAGACACCTGTTCGTGAACGCGCCCGTCCAAAATCGGCAAGCGAAAAGAGAAAAAACCCCGTGTTTTTCAACTTTTTGACCTCAATTTTTTGGTTTGCAACATCTTTTTTTGCGGTTCCGCAGGTGGCCTGGCCCGGAGGCGGATTTTTGAGTTTTTGGACCCGTTTTCGGACTGATTTTCGTCGTTTTGTGATAGCAGAAACACTGGTTTTTACAGTGTTTTTCTGTTTTCTGCATGCTTGACGGCTAGCTTCAAAACTTCCAAAAACCTCGTAAATTACGCTGTTTTATGTTACGGTGTGAATGAAAACATCGTAAATACCAGTGTTTTTTTGACGTTGGTTAAAAAAACACTGTAAATTACAGTGTTTTTGGCCACCTGACCCTCAAAAACCATGGTATTTGCAGTGGTTTCTGCTTCTCACCGCGCAAAAACACTGTAAATAACAGCAATTTCGCCGTTTTTTCATGTTTTTCGTTTTTTTTTGAACTGCGTTGGTCCGCTATACATGGCTATCAAATTCTTCGCGTTTTTTTTTCCGACAATCAGTACTTTCGGATGTTTTTGGTCTCAATGGCCGACATCATTGGCAGTTACGAGCGGCTGCCCAACGATGCGGTGCGGGCGGTTGCCGTCGCGAAGCGACGTGAATAATTAAAAGTGGAATACTGTAGTCTAAACTTTTGGAGTCTATATAAACACGTTGTCAGTATCTGGGTATCTGGACAACTAAAAACCAGAATTTGAAACCAACACTGCCCCTCCCAAGCGGCATAACATGACTTCCATACAGGCTCCATATCCCTAAAAATCGCAAAATCTAGGCTTGAGACAAGCTCATCATAGGCCCAACATGCCATAGAATGACCCTCCAAATGGCCGAACGGGGCTCAAGATAGTGTTGTACATAGGCTCAACATGGAGTAAAGTGTATATGTCTAAAAAACTTCCAGACGATTTTAAGGGCAGCTTAATTCTTGCGTTTTGCACAGGCTCCAATGCTGCAATGCGGACAGTCTTCACAGCACTGCTAGGCCCAGTGGCTCTCACGTCGCTTCCCCTCGCTGACAGCCAAGCTTTGTGACAGGCACATGCTGTTTCCTGTTGGTCTGGGTAACGCAGGATGACCGGGTTGAGAAATGGGGTGGAGTGGTTTCATATTGCTTAGATTGATCTTAGCATCACCACCTTTAGCAACGGCTGCATCCCTAGCCGAGCCTGAATAGACGCGCATCATAGATGGTCGATGCGTCCGTTTTTTGCCTGACAAGGGAGTCATTGTGGCGAAAAAATCGCAGTAGCCATTCGGCTTTTGAAGGTCGCCATGGAGTGCAACAGACACGGCCCCGACGCCCCGACCCTCAGGAGCTCCCTGCCTTGTGGGTGAAGCCCGGGCGGTACATCTTGTCCAGTGCAGAAGACACTTCCGTAGCCTATGCTGGCTCCATGTGCAAACTGCTCCAAGATCTTTCCTGCACGCCGGCGTGCTGATTCGTTTCAAGGACCGCACACTGCCACACACCATGCACGGCTTTTCAACTGCAACTCAAGGGCAACCGAGTTGTAGAGAAGCAGACACCAATAGAATCTATGTTAACCGATGGATAGAAAATGATAGAAAGATGAGCAAATAGAAGCAATGACCTCAGCAAAAAGAAAGAAACGCCACGGACAAGGACGAGGCCATACTAGGCGACCCAGGCGACCCAGGCGATGCCAGATCTCCTGCTGCCACTTTCTCGCTTCGGAGTGGTGGCAAGGTCAAGGAGTCTTCCAAGCTCAAAGCCTCCAAGTCCTCCTTGAACTCCTTGCTGTGGCTGCTAAGATATGTAAGCACAAGGTTCATAAGGGGGAACTTCCCAAGTTGCAAAACCAAGTTTAGCGGAACTCATGCTAATTCTCATTTAAATCACTTGAATTGTGAACCCCAATTCTTTGAACGATTTCTTGAAGTTTTTCTCTGAGATCACAGCGTTCTCCCCGTTTTTCACCACCGTGCCGCACCTCTGAGCCTTTCCCCGCCAGCACTCGGTGTAGTCTACACTTCCCGCGCCGCCGAGCCGTCTTCGCTCCCAACAGGTGAACTGCCTCACAGCTCGAGTTTTGCTGAAAATCATGGATTAAATGAATTAACCGCTTTAACCCACCAAAACCAACCAAAAAATGATTTTTAAAAAAACACTGCAATTTCATTGGATCCTGAAATATATCATATGGGATAATGTATATTCTACAATTGCCAACAAAATAGGGTATGTATTCAAGAGTGCCTGCAAATGGGGGGAATTTTCCATGGAATGACCATCATTTCAATAAAGCGATGTTGATGAGGTTTTCAGCATGCGGATGGAATGAGCTACACCAATTTCAGACAACCCCAGGTTCCAACATGTTCCGTGTGTGTGTGTTTTTTTCCACACACGCCTATTTTGCATCTGCATAGGTCTGTGCAAGACCACATTGACATTGTGTCAACGGTTCCATTGGAATCTTTCGGCCTTACCTTTGGTGAAAAGAAGTTTGGAGAATTGTATAGCTGAGCTTTCATCTTTGGCGTTCTGCCATTGTGGTAGTCTGGAGCATGGCCAAAATGGCCTCTGTCATTGCATCAGGTTTCGGCACGGCTGCAGGGGAGCCAGCATCATTGTCACGCACTGGCATGGAGTCATTGGGTGGATCCGGAGTCGAAGGTCCATGTGCTGCATCAATCTGCACTGGGTCTTGGGCAGGCAAGGCCTGATACGCATGCAAATGCACACTGTCAGCTCGCAACAACCAAAAGACGGTTGTATTGTGGCAAAACCAGTCTGGCATCTTCCATGTGGGTGTCGCCTCAACATCATCATTGGTGATGAGCCAATGCATTGGCTGTCCAGTCAATTGAACTGCAGGGCAAGTTTTCAAGGCCGCACGATAGTGGCCCCCATTGTCAGACCCCAAATGTGCTGCTGCCGCAACCAAAACATACTCAACCATTTCGCGCTGCAAGGAGGTGTTTGTGAAGACAGGCATCGTGCAGCCAGCCTCCATGTCAATCATGCACTGGCTTTTATGAACCTCACCATCCGCCTGATAAAATCGATCCAGGTGAAGACATAGGCACTGAGGGGCCTGCGTCAAAGCAGCAATCATCCCATGTTCCTGCATCCAGCGCCAAACAAGAGAGGACAAATTGAACTGCTGTTCAGGCAAAATGGCATGAGAGGCAGGTAGTGAAAGTGTGATGGGCATGTAAGCATCTCCATGGTCATGTGTGCACACTGATCCCATTTCTTCCACACGGCGTTCCCAGGTCATGTTGACAGCTGGTGCTCTCAGCCAGCACAGAACAGCGGCTGCATATTCAGACGCGTCCTGTTGCATACCCCTCTGAGTGCCCTGAAAGGCTTCCCATGCTTGCAAGATCTGATCAAACCAAGGCAGTTCACTCAAAGCAACCAATTGCAAATTGTGACATGGAAGAAATTGAATCAGGTCTTCAAAACGTTCCCCCAAGGAGGCTGAATCACACTGCATGGACATCAATGTCCAGAGAACACAGAAAATGGTGCTGCTCACGTAGCACCAATTGGAGTCATTGCGAAGCCTCAAATGGCTCATCACATGAAGGAGCACGGCCAAGGAGGGTGTCACGTTGTCTTGGATCGATGGTTCGTCTGCTTGGTCTTGCCTTTGCCCTTCCCTTTCCTGGTCTGCTGGCCAAGTGCCTGCTGGATGGAGTCCGCCAGTCCGCATTGGTGCAGGGCATGCGGCTTGAGCATTGTCCCAAGGAGGGTCCAAACGCTGCTGCGGGAGAGCCGGCTCAAAAGCTCCCACTCCCGATCCGCCCTCGGGCAGAGCTGCAGTCTCCAAGGGCATATGGTGGTGTCCTGGTTGGTCTGAAGCGACTTGAAGCATAACACCAGGTCTGGGTTCTTGAACATTTCCACCAGCTCCTTCACATGCTGTATCATCAGCGTCATGCTGATGGGTGTCTTGGAACTCTTGTGGAGTTGTTTGGTCGTTGGATTCCATTCCAAGAAGGGCCAGTTCCCGCTCTCGTCGATCACTTGGCTCTGAACAGAGGCCAGGAACAGTTGGTCGTCCTGCTTGGCTTCCGACATCTTGACCACTTTCAGCATGAGGTCCTGGAAAAGGCACTGCGTCAGGTGCTGTCTCAAAGTCATCAGTGGCAATGTCGATGACTTCCTCTGCTCCTGCCATGTCTGTGTGGCCTGAAGCAAGCCCTGGAGCCCGCCCTTGGGATCGCGGTTGAAAAAAAGAACGAAGCTGTCCGCCTTTCTGCTCTGGTTGAGATCGCGATCGTGGCGCAGAACCAGTAGGGCAAGCTGATGGACCAGTGTTGCCAGCTGAGGTTGTGGTGTCTGCAAGGCCCCCAACTGATGCATCTGGGTCTGTTGGGTCCGCTGAGGCGGCTCGTGCTGATGCTTGGAGCGTTTTTGCTCTCTTGGGTTTGGGGCCAGTTGCGCCAATGGCGCCTGACCGAGCAAGGGGGCAAGGCCTTTGAAGGTTTCCAGCACTTGCTGGTGCGCCATCAGCTCCGGTGTGGTCATCAAGGAGTCGTCCATCATGTAGCAACCCAGTGAGCAGCAATGCAATTTGCAACGCAACAGGGCAGTTGTACAGCAGGTGTGATTGAGCCAGTTGCTTGCGTTGGGTGTTCTCAGCATCATCTGCAGTTGCAGGCAAGTTGAAAACCTGTAGGCAAGCGTGACATTGGTGGTCTGCTGTCATGCTTTTTTGCATCATGGGTGTCAGCAAGGCCATATAAAAGGACAGTGCAAGGTGACTGCAGGCATGGGCCTCGCGCAGGTGCTGGGGCAGTGCACAGGCATCTCGTTCACATCCGCAAAACAAACATTGGGTGCGCAGGAGCTGCAAGCATCCAGGGTCCTGCCAAAGTTTGGCGTAGTCATGCTGAAGCACAATCTGCTCAAGCTGAAAGCGCTGTGTCTGGTCAAGCATGGTGGAGAGCAACATCTTCAACACATGTTCACTTGCCTGGAAAGGTGCAAAAATCTTGTCATCCATCATCTGGAGTAGCATGGATAGCTGCCTCAGAGGGAGGCAGTTGTGATCCAGGCGGTTCTGATGCAAGGCCGGGTTGCACACGCAAGTTCCTCTGGCATAAAACAAGCTGACCAAAATCACTGTGAGGGTTTGAGCACGGCGCCAGACCCTGGCATGGCTGCCCTGGAGATGGCAAGAAAGGTCCGTGGACCGTGCATAGTGAACCCCGCAGAGTTGACAATGCAGCGTCAACTCCATTCTGAACTTGGCATTGGTGAAAAGGGTTTTCATTTCACCAGCTGTGCAAGCCTGGACCCATTCAGGACGCATAGGCAACGTCTCGGCTGTCGCCTCCGGTCGAAACAGGAGGCATCTGCTTTGGTTTATGTGTGAGCGCAGACTGGACATGCTCTCGTAGAGAGTTCCGCAATGGGCACATGCTGGGCTGCCCGCCACACTGTCCCTGGCCACGTTAAACGCCACCCCCTGCAAGGCATGCTGGGTTTGCAGATGTTCTGCCAAGGCTGCTGGGTTGGGAAGATCTGCCAAGCAAATGTCACATCGAACTCTGAGTGAAGGAGCCTCTGCTGAAGTGACACTGCCACTGGGTGCTCTGACTCCCGCCATCAGCAAGGCCATCACCTGAACCCACACCGGGCAAAGGTGTGATTTGAACAGGGCGCCGCAGTAGACGCAAGGCCTATCTGTAGCCCATGTGTTGGACATGTACACAGCTTGTTGTGGAACTCCATCCCAATATTGTCCATGCATGGTCCGATAATGGGCATTAAGTTCTTGAACCCGGTTATAGTGAAGGCCACACAGAATGCACCTCTTTGCAAGGTACTGGCATGCATCAGGCAAAGTTGCCAGTTTTTCCCAGTCACGCTCTTCAATGAGCTGACACAGTGGCAGGCCAAACGTTGCTTGACGCAGATTGTCCAGTTCAGCTTCAGGGATCAGTGTTGAGCCTCTGACTGCAAGTTCTCCAGCGGCCATTTCAGTGCTGCTCTGGTAGAGCTGCACCCCCAGAGCAGTATGCGTCTCTGTGGCACAGGGGCCGGAGTAAAGGACCTGACAGCCCCGTTCAATGTGAATCTGAAAACGTCTCCATGTAGCGAAGGTTTGTCCGCAATGTTTGCATTCAGGCAATCCAGTGTTTGTAAATTGTGATGCAAGAGCAAAATGACTCCGAAAAACAGGAAGGCCATGAACCATCGTGCAATGTCGTCTGAATGTTGCGACGTTGGTTGCAACATAATCACATCTTGTACATTGAAAAAGGTCAGGGCTGCTGGGGTCAACACACAATGGAGAAGGCTCGACAGACCGGGAGCTCAGCTCCTGAGTATTGGCAAGGCTGGTGACCAGGTGATTTAAATGCTCCCAGGGCAGTTGCAGTGTGATATCATCGGCTTGCAATCTGGTCAAGCGTTGAGTGATCGACTGCAAAAGTTGCTCGGCAGCAGCGCGCAATTGCTGCAAAGGCGTTGCAATGGAGTGCAAAGTCAGGGCAAGATAGTTGGTATGTCCCGTGCGTGAAGCATGATCACAAACTACCTGTCTCAACATTTTGTACATTTCCCTTTGCAAACACATGATGCCCTGTGGATGGATCCCTGTTGCAAAAATGCCATACGTCAGGACAGGCAACACAGTGGAGCGCCAAAGTTGAAATCTGCTGTGAATCTTGAAATCATGTTTGCCCCGGAGCCATCTGCCAAGTCTGCGTTGTGCAATTCTAGCCAAGGTCAAGCGATGCTTTAACGTGGCAGTTTTGCAATCTTTGTAAGACATGACCGTGCCAAGATACGTGATTTGTGACTGCAATGGTATCAAGGCTTCTGTCCCCGTTGGCAAGGGAATGCGTAGCTGTTCCACATCTTTTTGTTTCACGACAAACTGAGCTCTCTGATGTCGATGAGAAGTGCCAGCAATGGCCAAAAGTGCCGCTGACTTCTTGGTGTTAATTCGCAACGCAAATTCACGCAAGGTGTCCAGCAAAATGCCAATGGCCATCAGGAGCTTTTTCAAGTCTGAAGTGGAATAAAAAAGGCCTCCAACCTGATAATCGTCGGCGTAAATATTAAGGTGCAATCTTAACCAAGTTATTGGTAAGAAATTGGCTACCCTATTGAGATACAGCATCATCAGGAAGTTCCAAAGGCCCGGGGCAGCCTTGCATCCTTGGCGTAGCCCTGCACCTGTTGGCAGGGCTACGTGTTCGCAGCCATGTTGGAAATGGTACTGGGTGTCGTGATGCCAGTGCGCCAGCAATTGGATGACAGCAGGACGGATGTTTAATGTATGGAGCTGTCCAAACAGTTTTGCACGGGAAACTCCATCAAATGCCCGTTCAAGGTCCAGCATGACTGTGACACCACCGCAAAATTGGAACATGGGAAGGCCAAGTGCCCTAGCATGTGGCGTCGGTCTTTGGGACGCAATCAACTGTGCAACCTGGTGACAATGATGTGAAACACGACATATTGCATCCAAAGTTGACCGCATTGGCATAAAGGCCCAAAGAGGCCAAGGCAGCATGGTTGGTCTGGCATCACTGCAGGCACATTGGATTAAAAGTCCCATCAGAGCCTTACCAATTGGATCTTGAAGTGCTATTGGTCGTAAATTATAATACGACGTGGGGGGGTTCATGGGTTTTCCCAGGAGGATCATCCAACCATCCCGCCATTGCTGGGGTATGAACGGGGGAGCCGTGCCCCACCATTGTTGCAAAATCTGATGCAAAATGGGTGCAATAATTGGCCCATGACTATGCCAGGCAATACCAGGAGCAAATGGAAATGCGACGGCACGGTTCACTGGGATGTCACTCAAGGCTTGGGTCAGCTCACAAACCGAGAAAGGAACCCCTGGGGCCTGAGCACAAGGCAGTGGCGGCAGGTTGGGTCCCCCCCAGATGTCATGCACAAACTTTTTGAGCAGTTCCAATTCTTCAGCAGGGCTGGCAATAGCTCCTAATGCATTTCTAATCTGAATCCGACGTCTGACAGTTTTGGGGGCATATCTATTGATCAGGCTGAACATTTTATGCATGTCATGTTTGCGGGAGGCTTCTTGAGCAGCTTTGACAATGTCCATAAAATGCAATCTTCTGATCTGAGCGGCATGCTTACGGTGTTGTCTCTTAAGAGAGGAGTACCGTGCCAAATGATGCCATGCTCTGAAAATGCCCGCACCTGTGCAAGCTCGGATACGCAGGAGCTGTTCTCGATGTTGCCATTTCGTCTGGATAATTGGGGTTGATTGTTGCCATGGATGTTGTTTCGAAGGTTTCTTCATGGGTGGAAAAAAAATCATGAAAACATGCACGAACTGCATCATGGAACTGCGTCATTTGGTTCTCAGCAGGCGCGTCTGAGTGCAGGACCGTGGTCAATTGCTCAGTCATGACCCTCGTTGAGCAGTCAGCATAGGCGTGCCATAGTTCAGTGGCCGCTTGAAACTCCATCTTAGCCATTTGAGCCTGTTGTCTGCTAATGCCAGCAGCTTGGTGAGTCCTGTGATGGGTCCAGTAAAGTGCAATCTGGTGGACAATTGGGACATGTCCTTGCTGTTGTGGTCCCATAAAAGGAGCATTCCAAAGATATCGGGGTTGTTTGGATATCCCATCAGCCTGGCACTTACGCACTAGTGCAAAGTCAATCCTGCTGGAATGGTCTCCATGCACGTACGTTGGCCCGTCGCGGGCGTCCCAGGAATTGAGGACTACCAATCCATGAAATCTAAGGAGAGAGAGCAATCTGCCTGCATCTTGGTGTTGTGAGCCCTTGGTGAGCTGTGTTTTCCAGCGATACCAGTCACTGCCAGAATGGGAAGCGCATGGGGGAACATTGGTGTTAAAATCAGCCATGACCAACAAATGATTGCGATGGGGCAAGGTCTGCAGAAGCTGATCAAAATGGTTCCACCAAGTCTCACGCATCTTCATGCATTGGGCTCCTCTGGTGTCGACATGTTGATACCCACTCAGCAAATCAAGGGATCGTCCTGTTGTAGGCATTCTCAAATGAACAAGGCGGCCTGGAACTACCTCCTGCCATCGCAAATCAGAAGCATTGCAAAAGCGGCGGGATATGAGCGTCAGGATGCCGGTTCCCTTGGAGGTGGAGCATCCGGAATGCACATGAATCCAGTCAGAATCAAGCCACTCTCCAGTGAACTGCCATCGGGTTTCATGGAGCGTCAACACCTGGATATGGTTATGTGACAACCAGGCTTTTACTTCATCCAACCTATGATTGGAGAGGCCCCCAACATTCCACTGCATGCATGTCAATCTCGATTTCGATCCATGGATTTTGTGGCACATGTCACTGGCAGCCTTCGGAGGCTGTTGCATCGAGTGCTGCAACTGCGCATCTGCTAAGGCATGGGAGGCTACATCAGGTTGTGGCATGAAATGAAAGTCTTCAGGTCTATACAGGCGTCCTCTGTACCAGGCAAGGCCCTGGCAGCACGCTCGTTTGTGAGCTCTTTTCAAACTTCTCTTTTTCACTGGGGTAAGGCTGTGGCTCTGAGAGGCAGAGCATGCTGGTGGTCTTATGTCATGCGGCTTCACGTCAGAAAAAGGTTCAAAGGTCCAATCTGAATGCAAAACCGACGTTTCAGTGACCCCCATGACTGGGCCACTACCCTCACCCCCACATCTGGTAAGTTGGTGCATGGAGCAACAGAGAAACAGACACGTCAAGGCCCGCCTGTAAATGCTTCTTCTCCAGATGTGCCCGGACTTGGGACCGGGTGTTGCGCCAGAATCGTTGCAAGGAGGGCCGTATCCCATGCAAACAGTCTGCTCAATATCAGTGAATTGGTTGTCGGGGGCTGCAAAATGAAAAGAATGAGCCGCTGCTTTGTATCCACAATTAAAAATCAGGAGCCACCCTGCAGAATAGGCCAATACGTGTGAAATCCAATGGAGATAGGCAGGAGTGACGATTGTCAGCTGGACAGCAGCTGAATTCAGCCTAAACCAGAGTGCTATTGTCACAAAGGATTGCAATTTAAAACCACGTTGTTGCCACAGCTGTACTGTTGAAGAGCAAAAACTCAGGAGCCACCCTGCAGAAAAGGCCAGGAAATGAATCACGTGGGCACTGTCAGCACGCTGGAGCAAATGATCAATATATAATATTGTAAGAGTGATCACAATCAGGAGCCACCCTGCAGAAAAGGCCAGATTCCAAATACCGGTGCTGGAAATTTTAAAGGTCTGTCGAATGCGCTGCAAAAAATATTGTTGTGGTTGCAATAAACCAATCAGGAGCCACCCTGCAGAATAGGCCAGTGAATTGCCAAGTGCCACAGGTTGTAAGAGGATATCAGGTTGATGTATCCCTTGTCTTCGATTCAGGAGCCGTCCTGCAGAATAGGCCAGATCACTGTCAGCAGTGCGCTGAGGAAAATATAACTGTTGCCACCACCAAAAGCTCAGAAAGGGCGCTAACCACTGCTCTGTAGTGTGCAAAGGATAAAGTCCACGCTGACAAAAGCTCGCAAAAATCAGGAGCCACCCTGCAGAATAGGCCAGAATGTTGCAGCCGCTCAATACTGTTGTGGGGAAATCAAAACACCTGTGTTGAAAAAATTCGTAGAGAAGTGTTCTGTTTGCAGAAATTAATGTCACAACCAGGAGCCACCCTGCAGAAAAGGCCAGAATGTATGCAAGAGAATCAGTGCCGCGTCGGTATGTGCTCACGGCCGCTGGTATCCAGGTGTTGTGAATATCAAACTGCAGCAGTGTATAGATCCCGTCCTCGTGCTCAGCAATCACCCCAGTGCAAAGACTAAGGGGCAGCCCCACAAGGTGCAGTATCTGTTGCGTCCACCACCAGGTCAGAATGTACATACACAAGCCGTTGGGTCAAATCAAGGAAATGGAGAAATAAGGATCACGCAATGGAAAAGTTGCAGCAGGGGACCAGACAAAATCCAGAATGAAAATGTTCACAAAATGAAATCAACGCAGCAGCAAGGGATGAAAAATCGCAAATGGCAGCCCAAACAGTCCGTTCGTGGGGAAAACGGCTCCTTCTGGCGCTGTTGCCAGGTTTGCTTGGCGCAAAGGGGCTTGTGTGTGTGTTTTTTTTCAACACTCCTTTTCTGCAGAAAAGTCTTGTGCGCGCCTCAACATGCCGAAGGCAGTTGTTGGCCTCCTAGCACGGAGGTCTTGGTGAAAAATCCACCCAACACACCAGAGCAGGCTTTGGACGCCCAAAAGCTCCGGTCTAAAGAAGAGGAAAAACAACAGCTTGCATTAGAAGCAACAGCTTGGGTGAAACGCTGCTCCGCCAAGTTCTGTCGATCGACAGCTGTGCCATGCAAGTGAATTCGTGCGCTGAAAATCATGCTTTTTTTTTTCCTTTTTTTACCCAGGCCTTCGTGATACATTGGGCCTTTGCCTCTTGGACCAGCTTCACTTTTTTTTTCTTTTTTTTTTTTCTTCTTTTTTTTTTACCCTGGCCTTCGTGATACGTTGGGCATTTGCCTCTTGGACCAGCTCCCTCCTTTTATTTTTTAATTTTTATTATTATTATTTTTTTATTATTATTTTTTTTTTACCCTGGCCTTCGTGATACATTGGGCCTTTGCCTCTTGGACCAGCTTCACTTTTTTTTTTACCCTGGCCTTCGTGATACGTTGGGCATTTGCCTCTTGGACCAGCTCCCTATTTTTTTTTTTAATGTATAGACTGGGATCTAAGGAACTAAGGCCGGATGAGTGAAACGGCAGAGCAGCATTTAATTAAACAAAACTGGACTACAATCTACGGCAAAATGCCTCGTGTCGAATCGCATCTGCATTGGTTGATTGGCATCAGGCAGCATTGGGTACATTCAGGGTTTCGGCATGGATGCAAGGAGTCTCAGCAGCGACATATTGTCAGGGTCTGTCGCATCGTCTGAATCAGAAGTGGATGGGCCTTCGATTGGATGTGGCTGCAGCGGGTCAGTCATATGGAACAGATCCAGGTAGTCACTATGGCAAAACCAGAGACACATCACATCTCGCTTGAACCATTCTGGCTCAGCCCTGAGTCTTTGGGGGGGCTGATCATCATCCACCAGCAGGAAGCTGATTGGTGGCTGCTCTGTGGGCCATGTGGTCAGCAGGGCGCGGCAGTGTCCAGCTGAGTCCATACCTGAGTGAGACACAGCAGCCAGGATTTGATATTCGGCAGTTTCGATTTGGAGCTCATCATCGGCAAAGAATGGGACATCGATCGCACCCCAGAAATGAATAGGGCGCTCACTTTTCACAGCTGCTTCAGAACCTTGGTTGATGTATCGATCAACATGGATGCACAGCAGTGGAGTGCGGGCTTTCAAAGCAGTATGCATACCATACTGAGACGACCAGGAGTTCAACATCGTTTGCAATGATGTGTAATCCAAGGGAGAAGTCTCTATGTCCATCAAATCAAATTGCACTGTCAACGGCCTGTCTGCAGCACTTTGGTCCATGACTCGCACAGTATCATTGATCTGGACTCGACGCTCCCACGTCATGTCAAAGCCCTCAAATCTCATTCCCCGCAACACGTGTGAAATGAACTCCACGGGGTCACCTTGCTCATGCTGATGTGGCCATGTTTGCATCACATTTCTAAACTAAACCAAGGTTGATCAACAATGGTGAAAGGTTGGTCGGCATGGCCTAGCACACTCTCAGCAATCAGGGTGGCCTGTGGCCCCAGAAAAGATGGCTCAAAGTCAGATCGGCTCAGAAACGTCCAAAGGGTGGCTGTCACCGCTGCATTGATGAAACAGTCATTGCGATCATTGTGCAAGACCATGTTGCTCATAGCAGCACGGAGGAGCCTCCTGTCCATGGAGGGCGGCTGCATCAGCTCCGGGGCTGTTTGTGCTTGCCTTTGCCTGCACTCTTCCCCTTCCCCAGCATGACCTTCAGTTGTTCCGCTTGAGGGCTTTGATTGAGGGTGTGAGGCTTCAGAGCCGCTCCCAGGAGGTTCCATACTTTGTTCCCCGACAGAGTCTCCAGCAAGACTTGAAGGTCGTCGCACCTGAGGGATATTTGGAGTAGCCAGGGCGTCACCGCCTGCTCCCCCGACGCCTTCAGCGAGTGGAACTTCAGGATGTTGCCAGCCTCCTGTGTGGTCTCCACCAGCTGGTCCATGTAGCGTCGCATCCTGTCCATGGGAATTGGCGCTTGATCTGTTTGCGTCAGCTTTCGACTGGTCGGGTCCCAACGCTGGAAAAAGAACTCCCCCTTGGCATTCAACAGATGGTGCTCCATTGCCTTCTGAAACAGGGCATCCGTCGGCTGGCAAGCATACAGCTTCTGTAAGCGCTGCTGCAACGTCATTGCCAGGTGATGCATCAGGGTGACCCTCAGTGGCTTCCATTCCTGTGTCTTCATTGGTGTCTCCTGTGACATCTCGTGGTGCCAGGCCTTGGCTCGAGCTGTCAGGACATGTATCACCGACTCCGGCTCCATTTGCATGTAAAAGACGAAGGAGTCTTGCTTTCTCAGTAGATTCTGGTCCGCATCCAGTCTGATGAGAAGCTTGGCCATCTGCATCACCACTTGAGGCAGCGCCTGTGCCGGCTCCTCCTGGGGTGGTCGATGTTGGGTCTTGGCCTTCTTGGGACCCCTTTCGTCTTCTTTTTGCTTTTGGCTGTGCTGAACCAGGAGCGGTGCCATGGCGCTGAACGTCGCCATGAGTTCCTGCGTCTCCTTGCCTGGCATGCTCAGAGTGTCCAAGCTGTCCATGAAGCAACAGGTGGCCAATTTGATGGATCACGGGGCACTGCTGAAAGTGAGCCAAGACTAGAGTCTGTCTCGAGTGCTGTTCAGCCAGCGTTGGATCACCAAGCAGCGGCAGATTGAAGATTTGATTGCACTGTGCACATTGATAGTCAGTGTGGGCTACCTTCATGTAAGTGTCGTACAGAAAAGGCAGAATGTCATACAATCTGGTCAGACTTGAGGCATGAACCTGGATCAAATGATCTCGGAGGAGTGCAGGATGGAAGGCACCTCCACACAGGACACAATGAGATCTCAGGAACTCGTTCATCTCCGACTCTTGCAAAAGACGCTTCAACTGTCTTGCATGGATGGCTTCAATCACCGGTTGACAGGCCGCATGCAAATGGCATCGTTGCATCAAGGTGGTCAAACTGCCTTTGTCTGAGAGCCACGGCAAGAGGAGCTCGACAGAGGATCGCGTCCATAGCATTGCCATCTGACGGTAGAAGGGACACACATGAGTCAATGTGAACTTGTTGACACTGGGATTGCATACACAGGCATGGATGGGGGCCAGGACTTTGACAAGAAACTTCGTCATGGCTTGTGCCTGGTTCCACATGGCTGAGTGTGCAGTCTGCAGATGGAGCATCAAGTCGTTTGACCTCGAGTATGTAACTCCACATTGGGCACAGTGCAACGTCAGGCGCATACGCTTCATGGGGTCTTGCAACAAAGGATGAAAATCACCAGTTTGCATCATCAGCTGTATCTCGGGTGAGATGGGCAACAGGGATGGTGATCGATGAGGGTCAAACTCTCGGCATTGTCCCAACGTCACATGTTGCCTGACTGCAGAGACACTGGCAAATGGCGTGGCACAGTGATTGCAGGCCGGGTCCCTGCCCATCAAATCCCTTTCCGGCTGCCAGTCATGGAAGGCAAGCCTGTGCGTGTTGGCAAGATGACTGTGAATTTCATCTAAGGTGGCAGCTTGAAGTCCACATATTTCACATCGCAAGGCCGCCGATGGTGGGTCCTCCTGCTGGTCTGTCTCAGATGGCAGGTGTATCAGCAGCATGCCCAGCTGTGTGAGAATTGGACAGGAATGCGCCTGCTTGAAACTCTTGTTGCAATACCGGCATGGTGAGTTGCTTGCAAAGCCTTTGCACAACTGGGAGCCCTTGGTGAAAGTGTGTGGAATCCACTTGGGGTGATGCACACGCATATGACTGTGCAGTTCCTGTGGCCGTGTGAAGTGAAAATCACATACACAACATTGATTGGCAAGGTCCTGGCATGCACTGCGTTGGTCAACCAGGGCGGCCCAGTCCCGTCTACGGACAATGTCGAGCAAGGCCTCACCATATGGCTTGTTGAGGAGGTTGGCAACTAAACTCTGATGCATGCGCAAAATGCGCTGTTCCTCTTCTTCACGAAGTAGAGCATCCAGGTCCAGGCCCGTGTCACATGGGCGTACCTGACAGCATTGGCGGTCCAGGTGATTCTGAAATTGGCGCCAAGTCGTGAATGTTTTGAAGCAAAAGGTGCATTGTGGCAGTCCATTCACCGCACACGACATGGTATGCCCTAAGCTGGATCTAAATTGAGTGCGTTGATGGACAACGGTCTGATGACGTCTCAAATTAGCCAAAGTATCAGCAACATAGTGACATTCTGTGCATGAATACTGCAGGGCTTGTGGCACCTCAAGGCCGTTGTCAGCAGTGGGTGAAACTGGCACTTGCACCTCGAGGGCAACTTGGAGCATTTGAATATTCTGATTCAGTGTGGTCCAGTTGACATGAACGAGAATGTCATTGGCTTGCAAGTGCTGGGATCTCTGGCCGAGTCTGCATTGAAGCTGGTGCGCATGGCGCAGGAGAAGCATCAGCGGGTGTTCTAGACCATAACGGTACAAAATTGTCTCATGTGATTCATGGGTTCTGAAACTGTAGTTTTTGGTGAGTTGTCTGTACATTCCAAAAATGATGAGCTGGAAGTTTTTGATTATGGGCAATGTCAGATTGACTGCAAACAAACCATAAGTGAGGGTCGACACAACACATGCCCGCCAGAGCTGAAGCCGATGTCTCAATCCAATGGCATGGGTGCGCAGCCAACGTCGAAGCCTGTGATATGTGATCCGTGCACATTGAACCCTCTTCTCAAAGGTCAGCTGCTCAGGATTGGAATAACTCAGACATGTACCCAAATAACCAGCTTTCTTTTTGACCGGAATGCGACTGTGGGTTCCATTGGCTCGGGGTATCTCAAGAAAAAAATGGCCACCAGCTTGTTTAACAAGACTGCTGCGTATCTTGCGGCTGTGGGTGCCTGCAATTTCGATGAGGATAAAAGACTTTTCCAATGAAAGAGTCAGTCCCAAATTTTCGAGGGTGTCTAGAATCAGGCCAATACGGGAAATTTCTGTCAGGAGTTGATGTTTGGATTTGAAAACAGCGCCCTGATGAATATCGTCCGCGAAGGCAGTGAGGGTTTCTTTCACCCAGTCGATGGAGACTGCGGCAGCAAGTTGACGGAAAAATTGATCTAAAAAACAGTTCCATAATAGAGGGGCGGCTCGACAGCCTTGACGCACTCCCTTAGAGGTTTCAACTACAACAGTTTCTCCAGCCTGTTCCACGCAATAACTTGTATCTGTGTGCCATTGGGCTAGGAGTGTTGTGAGAGCAGTTGCATCATGGAGGGCATCGAGGTGTTCAAACAATTGTTGTCTCGGCAATTGATCGAAGGCCCTCTGGATATCTAAAAAGATCTGTATTCCTCCGCAACAGCTGAAAAATTCAGTTGCACTTGCACGTTGATGTGCCGATCGGCGTTGGTTTTTGACTAGGCATCGGACAGTATTGCAATGGTCCATCACTCTTCGAATTGCATCACCAGTGGATCGATGAGGGAGAAATGCAAATCGCGGCCACTCCATCAGGGTGTTACCCGTAGCCTCAAGCAGTTTCCGAGTGAGTGCACCTAGAATGCACTTGCCCAGGGGCTCCTGCAGTGCTATGCACCTGAGGTTCTCTACCTTACATGGACTCTTATTGGGTTTGGGGATTAGAGTTACCCAGGCTCTTTTCCACAAAACTGGGATGTAAGGATTTGAGTGACTCCACCATTGGGTTAGAAACTGATGGATCCAGGGTGCAAGAGTAGAGGCATGTTGTTTTACTACCAGGGCTGGCAGGAACGGGGATGCTACTGACTTATTGTGGGGCAATCTTTGCAACTCGAACTCAATGTCTGCAATCGAGATGGGGACCCCAGGGGGGTCCCTGGGACCGAGATTGATGGCTTCTGCGCCCGCCCAAATACGCGCAACAAAATCTCTGGTCATTTGCAGTGCCTCCGCAGGGGAGGCAGGAGAACCATCTGCATTTCGAAGCTGTATTTTCTTTTTGGGCTGCTTAGGCGTAAACCTGTTGATGATCTGATGAACTTCAAAGCTGTCATGCCTGTCTGCTGCATTCTGTACCGCGGTGAGAAGGTCAAAAAATTTTTGGCGTTTAAAGACCTTGGTGAGTCGTCGATGCTCTCTGGTCAGTTGCGCACATTTGCTGCGGCATTTCCACACATGAAAAATGGCTTGGAGGGTTAACGATTGATTTTGTTTGACCTGGCGATGATAATACCATTTTTGTTGGATAATATCCTCATGATTAGGTTTGGGGGCATGGGGGATTTTCACATTCTTAGGATAGAAGTGATGAAATTTCTGCCCCAACTGATCATGGAAATGTTGGACCGGATCCCCAGTGGAGTCAGAGTTGGCACAGATTTCTTGCAGGGCATTGCCAGTCTGTGCCAGCATGGACGCCCAGGTGTCACTTCCTCCTTGCCAGTCCAATCTGCAGCGCATCCTTTGTTGATACGTGAACCCTGTGGACTGTCTGGACTTGTATGAAAAATGAAACCTGCGGATGCAACACATCAGGGGGATATGAGTGGCACCTTTGAGAGGAATAATATCCGCATGGGTGAGGTACTTAACATCACGGGAGAATCCATCAGCATCAGCCGTCCTAGTGATGAAAAAATCAATACGTGAGACCATCAAGCCATTATGGAATGTGGGACCATGTTGAGCATTCCATCCATTGAGGATGGTGAGATGATATTTCCGGAGAACTGAGTGGAATGATTTCATATCCCTATGTTGTGGGCCCTTACAGGGGTGGCCATGCCATGTGAATGTACTGGTCCCGACATGTGGTCCATCTTGTTCTGCAGAGCAGTTTAGATCCCCTGCAATCAGTAAGGAGTTTCGATTTGGAATCGTACCTAGGCAAGTATCCAGCATCTGCCAGAAAGATGCACGCTGATGCAATCTGG